GGGGTTCGTCGCGCCAAGGCAAATCCTTCTAGAGCATGGAGCAGGTGGTCTCTGAAGGAATGTTGCTGCCAAAACATGCAATGACTTTGTAGAACAGGAGCTACAAGCCAAATCCTGCAGATGAGCAGCAGATGAAGGTTTGAGTGTATGACATTGTTGTGGAGCAGACATGTAGGGTTCATTAAGGAAGATTAAGATTACTTCAGATTAATCTGGATTAATCCTGGACGACAAAGCCAAGAAACCAAAAAAACAACACAAAAAAACGAAGGTTTCAGAACTATTTTGAAGATTGGACTAGTCTGGAAATGTGTTTTTCCCGAAAGCATTGCGAAGGGTTCTTCCGGCAAATCCTTTGAACACTGACACTTCGACACTTACACTTCGACACTCACACTGACACACTTACACTTCGACACTCACACTGACACACACACACACACTGGAAGAGCGAAAGCATCCAAGTGTGAAGTATGCCAGGGTCAAAGTATGCAAGTGTGAGTATGCAAGCATGCAATGACTATGCAAGGGCAAGTCTGAGTATGGTAAAGATGGAAAACTAGCACGGGAGATGTCCTAATGAAAAAACATTTCCCCACTTTATAAATTCTCCCTGTAGAACCCTAACCATTGTTTTTTCAACTCTTTCCACAAAAAAACATATTTTATCAGATTCTTATAGAGAAAACAACTCCTGAACGGTAATTTCCACTCTCGAACGGGTCTTTCAACTCTGAACGCTTTTTTAACGTAATTGAGCTGGTCTGCATACAAAGGTTAATTTGCAACATAATTCCCATGATCTCGGAGCCCAAAAGCATAGTTGATCCAGAAGCACTAAACTACAAAGTGGCAAAAGCACTGCAGCATAGCCTAACAAACCCTGTTCCAACTGTAGTTTGGCACTGCACCGACATCACAGCCTGCAAGCTTTACACACGCCACGCCATCATTAGGTGGCACAAGTAACGCTCAAAGCTACGCCAAGCCATCGTGCGCATATGGACATGGCGAGTCAGGTATGCAGCATGTCCAATAAAATCTTCGTCGACGCTGCATGACTCGGTAATCGGGTTGTAAATCCACTGATTTCCCAATCGAATTTGGTCAGACATACGGAACACAATCTCTTCAAAGCTGTGAAGCTTTGGATGCATTGGGAACCTCATTTGACGCTTTGCGCCGGATGAGGCTGTCAGAAATTCATATGCAGCTCTGAAATGTTCACCGCACTGCACGCACTCAGCAGCAACCTGTCGCGGCAACCACACGTCACCATTGTAGAGCAAATGCATCAAACGGTTCAAAGCCCGAGAAGCTGACTCCTCAGTCAGACCCCGGCAATCAAACCAAAATATTATAAGCCCTGGGCCCTGAACAGGAAAAACAAAATGATCTAAAATAAACAGAAACAAGGAGGGGGTTGAAGACTTAAGCAAAACAGGAGTGGCAATGTAGGTCGTTCTCTCATCACGAAGGCCAGCAATGAGGTCACCATACTTTGTGAACAAATGCTCCACGAATCGGCACATAATAGCTGTAACATTTGCCTTGTTCCAACCCCCGGCCGGCTCCTTGTTCCCTGAAATGCCGAAGAGGCCATCATCGAAATGGCTGACGTATGCTTGGTAGTGGTTCTGTCGGCAAAACAGTTTGTAATCATCCGCAAGCACCTTGAACCTGGCACCTATCGATCTTCCTGGAATTGCCTTCTGAATGATAGACATCGCACTTGCGCAGAAGGCTTTGCCACAGCCCAAATGGCATGCGTGCCATATATCCGGTTTGTGGAAAAAGGCTTTTCCATTTGGCCGCTTGTCACAGAGAAGCATTTGGGTAAAAGATGCCTCAGATGCCCACGGGTCAGGAAGCTGCGTCGTTAAGGCCTCCTCCATGCATCTTCTTGCAACTGTCCTCGTAGACACGTCCAAAAACTTTGGTCGCATGATTTTTTGTGAAAACAACTGTACAGACTCAAAAGAGAAACCTATAAAAGATCAACCTCAGCTAAGTGTCCGGTTTTCCCATTCAAGACCGTGCCCGGATGTCCCACACATGCAGAGATGGCAAACTCCTCCGCAAGCTGTGCCCTCAGCAGCTTTTGGACATCGCCTGTAGGAGCGGTCCAAATTGGCGCTGTCAACCTGATCTAAAGGAAAGCAAAAAGGAAATCACATCTACGCTGTGAAAACCAAAACAAAATTAAACATCCCCACATGCTGGCAAAAGGCGAGGTAACTCCAGTCTCCTTTGTTTCCCAGCGCTATAGGAAACAGCAGCCCGTCTTGCCCCAAGTCAATGCCAGTAGCCTGCGCTTCTTTAAAGTCACCGACGACCAACCTCACCAGCCCGGCCCAAACATCATCGTTTTCCTCATACATCTCCTGAGCAGGGGCTTAGATTGCGTGCGGTAAATGGACAACACCTATGCCCCTCAACTTGTTTGGCCCAAACGCTTCTATCTTATTGAAATTTAAATATGTATAGAGCTTGAACACAGCTTGAGTTTAAGACACTCACCCAAAAAAGGTCCTTGGGAGCGATAATGCAAAGGAAACGTGATTGAAATCCTGTCTTCAAGAAGTTGAGCGGTATTCCAGCAGATGACAGATCGGACCCCTCGTGGTCTGTGAGTGCCTCTGAAAGTGAACGTCGGGATGTTCCTTGACCAAGAACCCCTTGGAAGCTGATTAGGAGCACCGCTCCCTTCTTTTGTGTCACGCCACCATCCCCGTGAATGTGCAATGGGACACACCGGTGGAGTGGTAGAGATGTTGTAAAGAGCTCATGCTGGGGGCAGGCCTTCCTATAGCGGTTCCAAAACTCTCGAAGTAGAGGGGCGGCTGCAGACATAGTGTTCTTGCCAGACAGAATCCGACCCAAATCATTGGTTTTTGCCATCGTTTTGATGAAACTGCTAGGGCGAATCCATGGGTACTTGGAGTACTTGGCAACCTCTGCATACGACATCTCGACCGGGTATTTGACTCCATATCGGCTCATGATTCTTGAAACGTTCCGTTCCTTACCAAGTCAAGTGCCAAAGGAAGTCATAAAAGGGTGAAACCACAATGGGGTCCATAAAGAAATATGGAAATGTGCCAAAAGTACCTTTGACCTATACAGGGATCAGAATTGCTCTCCTTGACGTTTGCCAGGTCTCGCACAAATGGGCAAAAATATCCATCTTTTGTTCCTTCCAGGGAGTCATGGTAGTCAGCAACAGCATCCCGGATGATTTCGGTGCAAGCTTCCTCAGCGTTCTGGGCGGCTAAAAAGCGCACAAAGTCTTCTCAAAAAAGGGTGTTCCTTTTTTCCCCTGACACAGTGCCATGGTGAGAGCAGCTGAGCGTCACCTCGGCTATACCTCCAGGCGAGGCGCAAGCCTTTGCGAGAAAGACCTGGCAAGTTCACCCGCAGATCAATGTGCCAGATTGTATGTTTATCTTGCAAGGTTGACAAACATATAAACAGTTCTTTTTATTGGCGACCCCTTCAGCCAATCTTGAGTTGAAAGCACTCAGCGTGTTCAATATCACGCGAACAAATTGGAGATGTCTCATCATCCGTGATCCTATGGAAACAACGTTTCAGTTGATCCCCATGCACGGACAACTGTGATGGGCACGCTCATATATGGTTAAAGAACGCCTCTTGTAAGAATGCTGGTTGATGTTTTTCTTGGAGGTATACCCATCACTTGCAAAAATCGACCTACTTCTCCTGACGCCTGACCTTACGCTTCCGGGCAGGTGCAGGTTCCTGATTGTCACCCTCCCCGCTCGTAGGCGCTTTGTCCGAGCGAGATTTGGGGGAAGATTTTTTGGCTCGCTTGGGTGGCTTGGATGCTTCCGCCTTTGCCTTGGCTTTTGCCTTGGCCTTGGCGGAAGCACCCCTCCCTTTGTTCGCTGCTTTGTTCTCCTTTGCGATGTCCTTTTTGTAGTGCCTCCCGGGCCGGGTGCTTGAATGAGAACCCAAAATTAACCATTCATGCTTGATCGATGGAAGTATATACCCCGATGACTATAATGTTTTGTCACGAACCTGAATTGCGCCTCCAAAGATATCAGTTCAGAGCACCTGAGGGCTGTAAGATGAAATAAATTCTGTTCATGGGGTTATCATGGCAAGGAGCGGTTTCTTCACAAGACTCTTCTCCCCCTCGATCTTGTTGACAAGCCTGAATCGAATGGGCTGGTGCTGGGGTAAAAAAATGTTTGCTGGGCTACCGCTTTCTGAACGCAAGCGCTGCCCAAGGCCAAACGTGGAAGCGCATTCATTTGAGATGCAGGCCGGGTGTCGGACAAAGAAACTCTTCCCCCATGACTTGTTTTTTTGTACCAAAACATGGTTTTCCGGACACCTGAAGCAGGCCCCTCAAACCAAGGAACGATACCACCTTCGGGTCAGACCTCGGAAGCCTCAGAACATTCTCCATTTTGATCTCGGTCAAGTAGGAAGCCAACTTCTCGTAGGACTCAGACAAAAGGGCCTTGCACTTCTCAATTTTCTCTGCCAACCTTGGGTTGTGGCTAAAAAGATCGACAATTTAAGTGGCCTTGCTAGATGGATCTCAAGTTTATGAAGTTGCCACCTGATCATTGTCAAGAAACACATTGTAGCAAGCAAGCCTTGTCCTTATTTTTTTGCAGGACTTTGATCATATCCATAGCTTGGGACATTTTGGAATCAACAGACTCCATGAACCGCTCAAGGTCATCGTCCACCTGCAACAAGAACAGGGTGTCAGGGGTTGCTGAAGGTAGAGCTGGATACACAAGATATATAGTGGACTCACATGGACACGGAGAGGAGACTCGTTTACCCAAAAACAAAGGCCTTCTCACCCACGACTTCGGGATGAGCCCCCGCCGATGGAATCCCGAAATCCTGGTTCTGAAGTTCCTGGTCCGGTGGGGCATCCAGTTTCTTATCCTGATGCAGCGAAGTGAAGCGGTCGAGGGTTTGTGGTCGTACTCACCTTTTCCCACCAAAAAATCTCAGGTCAGAACTCCCATGTCAGTGGTGGCCATTTCATTGGTGATGTCCGACAAGCGGAGGCAAGTAGTGGTCTCATCTTCCACAAAGAATTCCGGCACTGAAGGGTCATACTTCCATTGCCTGAACTCGTGCGCAATTTATACAACGTTTGCGCAATTAAGGATCGATCGTCACATGTTAAGCAAACCCCACCGTACGAGGGCACTGGGGAAGCGCTGGCAATAGGATATGATGCTGCGGATACTGGGCCTTACGTCGTGATTCAATGCAGCGTTCACGGATCAAGTCGATTTGCTTTGCAGGTTGCGAATGATCATACAAAATTAGAAAAATGCTTCCAGAGCACAAGCTATATTCGCCGGATGTCTTCATGCGCTCTTCAGTCATCCATTTTCCATGGACCTCTTTTTCTTTACTCAGCATGCGCTGCCTGACCACAGTGATCCTGCTGCAGAACTCACCCTGCAGGGCGCGCAGGCTTTTAGAACGATCTCGGGCTGGTGACTGTGCACAAAAACAAAAACAGCTTTAAAAGCACGCAGGTCCGACCTTCACTCGCGAATATACTTCGCGACCTGTCCCGTGCATTTTGATAGCCTCTAGTAGGGCAATTTCAAGCCACTCTCGCTTCTCTCCGGCTGCAGCGTAATCGCTGCGAACGGATTCATCCACCGCACACTTCCCGCTCTTCTTTACAGCGCAAAGGCGTCTTAGCCGCATTCGCAAAGCATCTGCCGAGATGACCTAAGTTGCTAGCTATCTCAAGATGCTATACGCAGCAGTTACAGCCCTCATGTGTCCAAACATTGGATGGGTGGGATTGGTTGCGGCTTAGGGGCAGGCTTTCCATCCGGTGTAACGATTGTGTCTTCTTCGGCACCCTTCTGACCCTTCTCACCCGTCTCACCCTCCTCACCCGTTTCCTTGTCCTTCGAATCTCCTGCTGAAGTCGTTTTGGTACCCGCCATCTGCTGTTCCAGGACCGCTATCTTGTCAATGGCCATGGACAAAAGCTCCTGAGGCAAGCAATCAAAACACATATGTAGTAAAACTTTTTGACATATATAGAGATGCTGTATACAAAAAGATTCACAGCGCAGGTGTCTCCTGAGTCCGGGCAAGAGCGGCATCTGGCGAAGGGGGTGCCTCAATGCCAACAAACAGATATACCGGTGTACCACTGGATCAAATGACTATATAGCTCGTATATCATATTGTGCAGCCACAGTGCCGGAGTAGCCGGTGGGCTTCCAGGTTTAAGAGGAGGTGAGGCAAGAGATGTGCGCTTCTCCTGGCGCAGTATGCAGAAAAGAAGCTTACCCTTTTCCACCTCCGCTTTCAAGGTATCGCACATTTACTGGGGTCTCCTCAGGTGGGCTTGCAGCGCCTGCAGCCTGGAGAGAGGCTCGAAGTTCCTGAGAGTCCTGGGCAGTGCAGGCAAACTGCCAGTATTTGAGGTAAGGTTACCGTGAGACTCGTGGGGACAAGCTCAACAACATCTTTATCCGACCAAGCAGCTGCTGGCACGGTGTCGATGTCTTCTTGGGGTAAACTCTCGGGCTTTTCATCAGTGCGTTGCGGCACCTGAGATTGAGAGGTTTTGTGGGAGCATGTGGATTGACTTTTAGATGTGCATGGTGGTTCCTGCTTCCTTTTGAAATCTATGTACATGTCGAGCCACTGGGGTATAGGGCTCCGATTTTACACCCTTGACCTTCTGCAAAGCTGCTTGTGCCTCCTGTTTGAATCTGAAGCTACCAGAGTTTTGTAACACAATTTACTATAGAAGACTCTGCACGCACACAATTGTTCTTCCATGACTTTGAACACATTCAAAGCGCACCAAAAACGGAGCCCCATATGTGTCCTTAAGTTTGTTCTGGATGTCTTGTTTGTTCAACCTCTTCACTCCCAATGTCGAGATGGCCAAAGACGCCGCAGCCCCAGCCGTCAGGCTATTGCATGACCAAGTTCGGCTCTCAAGGGTTTGCGCCGACATGTGAGAAGACGTCTAAAAACCCAAATACACGGATGTTTGACCTCAAATTGGCTACATGACGCTTATAAGCACGCAACATCACGCAACCAATCGTGCATAATTGCTCACAGTGAGAGTATAAATTGAATGTTGGCATCTCATTTTCCGATCTCGATCTTCCCAAACTGGCTCATTCTTTGCCAAAACTCTTCCAGACCAGGTCCAAATCGAATTAGGCGACACCCTGGGAAACAGCTGTTTTTACGTAAAAGTTTATGTAATTTTGAACGCTCTCGAATGGATTTTGAACGCATATTGAACGCATTTTTTACGCTCTCGAACGGGTACGGTTTTTTTACGCTTTTTGATTCGAACGGGTATTTCTACTCTATCCAATGGTTTACATAATATATTACGTAAAATGTTGCTTTTTTTAACTCTGGCGCTATCCCATGTACTCCAAAAGTTCACATGTAAACACAATCGGTGAGAAATAAGCACGGTAGCGCCCAAACACAAATACAGAGTGTTCCATGCATACCTGAAACCAACCGTTGTGAGATTGCTCTCGAAAGGCAGCCTTCAAAAACGGTCGCGTGCGAATTATATAGTGGACATACCCAGTCGTTCGCAGAAGGAAAGAGGTGCTAGATTCTGTTTGGGAAGCACTCCTTCCATTCCTTGGGCAAGCGGAGATTCACATTGCCCCTTAAATATCGCACAACATCGACCAAGCCTGCTTCTGGCCAGTCTGACCATGGGTACTTGGTCAGCTCTTCCCAAACCGGCTCACTACTCACAATGGGCCTCCCCTCACCTTCAGATTTGAGGCCGGGCATCATGTCACACAGCTTCTTCCCGAAGCGGGCTGGATAGACCCTGAGCCGGGTCGCCCAGTGAATAGTTGAGGAGAGCACGAGAAAAGGATGGAAACATGGTGGAAAAGCAGTTTAGATGAATCTCCTCAGGCCAAAACTCTAAAAGGTGATTTAGGTAGCTGCCTGCCCTCCATATATTGTCTCAGCCTTTTGTTATAGCTTGAGGGTGCTAATACAGGACAACATGCCCGGGGGATTGGGACATATAGGAACCCGCATTCTTTTGGCAACAGAGCTTGAACCCCTGAACGTGAAATACACTTTGTGTGGAAGAAGACCAGAATACACTGAATGAAACTGAACCGCGGTGACCTGCCCAGGAGGTGGGTTCCCAACAACATTAGGCAGAAGCAGGCTGGCTGGAGGAACGATTGTGGTGGCCAGAAACTATGTTGGGTCATGCAGGAAAAGGGGTCGAGAATCTAGGATGACACAAAGTTGCGAACACTGAGCCGTGAAATGATGGTCGTTGTTGTTTTGGGCTTGCGTCCCGTCTAGATAGTCTTAGGAGGCCAGACCTGAATCCCCAACAACGGCGATGCAGTTTTCTTTAAAATCTTGGGGGCCGGGCTGTGCTTTGCTCCACAAACTAAGGGATAGACTGTGTCGATTTCAATTCTCGAGAACCTTGCCATCCACCACTGCTGGTTCGAATCGTAGTTTTGAGAGTCAGACGTTCCCGTTGGCTCTTCTTAAGCTTTCCCATGTTGATTTTGTGCGTCACCCGATTGTTGGTGTAGCCCTTTGTTCTCTTTGCCGAACTGGCTCCATAGTGGCACATCCACCACGCTATGCGATACACCTCAAGCGGCCCACGGAGCTGACGATCGAGAGAAACCATCCCAATGGGACAGAAAACATAGTGGGCTCAGTCAACTGTTTTGGGATTGGACCCCTTCATTTCAAGATTGATATCCGATGGAACACAAACAAAGCACCCTCAACCCTGGAGACCACTGGTGATGGGTTCTATATAACTGCCATGTGAAAAAGCACATGCTTTGTGCAATTGGAGCACTCGAACCTTCTTTGTCAGAAATTTGAACCGATCATATTCACTCATGAGGGAGGAGCCCGGCTGCTCCAGGAAGAATGTTCCGCCACAACAGACAATGGTGAAGTATAATAGTACGGTCCTGGGGCTTCATGCGCATCCGGGTTCAACATCATGCGTTTAAAATGTTTTAGAGACTTTGTGAAACCCGCGTTAGTATCAACCCCCACCCATCCTCGACACCATAGAGTTAGCTAGCTGGATGTAGCGCAAGGCAGTGTTTCCTTCAGGAAAGCACAAGCTCCTCCGGCTTGTGCCGGCATTGATTGCCACCCAACTGCTGCAAACGGTTCCAAACAGTGCAAAGAAAGAAGACTCGCGTGCTTGCAGGATGAGGTAGACAGCTAACCTTGGGGGACGATATATTGATCAGGATGTATTGACACATTCCTTCAAAAGAACTAAAATAGTGTATAACTCTACATGTACCAGTTTCCAACACAACAGCCTTTCAATCGATCAAGGAAAGAAACCCCAGACCGGAAGCACTGTTGATGTCAAAGGCATTGGTTTTCGTGCCACCAAGCTCTGACAAATACTCAATGTCAACAGCCGTTGATGTATAGAGAGACTTCATCTCGGTGAACACATTCCCCTTTCCAGAGAAATACTCTATATACTGGAGCTCCTGGTGTGGTGGGAAAACTTCCACTTGATTAAACAACATGAGCGCAGCTGTCCCTGGCAACCCTCCCAACCCTGACGTGCGTCCAATTCCTTGTTGAAGGATGGCAAGCCGATCGTGAAGCTCATGAGCACAATGATGAAAATGAAGGACTGCGGTGGCACGGGGAAGTGAAGCTGTCACAGAGATCGGACTGGTTTGCTATAACCACCGGAAAGAAAACCTTCTGCAGAATGTCAGGTTGTCCTTTCTCATTGATAACTGCAGACAATTCCAAACCAGAAAAATATTGATCTTGAACCCATGCAGACCAAAAAGTATACACTCATGCAAAGTGCCTTGGGAACCTCAAAATGCATCAGGGACCGCACAAGGCAGTGGAGATTCACTGGCATGGCTGCTATAGTGGAGAACGATTGTCTCCCCACAAGCCCCAGAAGTTCTATGCAGCCAACCTTTTTGTGCACGTAACCTTTGATGCTCAAGTGGCAGCGTAACCAAAACAATGAAGTGCTTGCATTGCCATGCGCTCAAACAAATAACCATTCAAATCTCGCAATAAGAAGGCAGGCTTGACCTTTGAGATACCGGTTTCGCACTCCTCCACCTCCGAGCTTCAGCGCGCCGCACTGCCTCTTGACCATCGCCACCAGACCTGGCATCAGCGAGCAGTCGGGTATTCGCTCTTGGTTCCCCTTGATTTCCCAGCAGCACGCAGCCCAAGAGTCGTTTTCCCCATGGCATCTTGCGTTGATCAACGCAACATAATTGACCCACTTGTGGTGCCAATGTCTCTGAACTGTTGACACCCGCACAGAAATAGGATTGCTGCATGATTGCTGCATTCACAGCGTGCTGCACACTGCATACGCATTGAACAATCAGCAACGTGCACCAATGCTTCCACGGTATTGAAGTCACATGGATGCTAAACAGCCACCTAGTTGAGTTTCATGAAGAAGAAACTGCTAAGCACACGTTGACTTACCCAAATTGCGCGTCAATTTGACATGCGCTCCGAGTGAACCTCAGCAACAGCTTCATCGCGAGCAAGCCGCAAGTTGGCAGCCAGCTGTTTCATTTCACGTGCATCTGGTTCTAGCGGCGCAGGACAAGAAGGGCCGACTTTGGCGGACCGAAGCAGGGCTTGTGCCTCGGCAAAAGTTGGGAAGAGCATGACATGTA